CTTATAACTATCATGTCGTTGTTTGCTAAGATAACCATTTTCCATTCCTCAATTTGAAGCAAACAACCTTTAATTATTTGGATTACAAGACATGCACCTTTGAACTAATCATGATATGATGGTTAACGTTTTAGATATGATGACAAATTATGGCGAATCTTCACAATAAAAAAATCCTAGGGTGAACTGGAAAAAAGAAAATGTGGTGAAAACATTTATCGAGTCTTGTTTGCATAAGATCTCCGTAAATGGACGAGAAGGGGGTAGCCTTAAGGCAATTTCTTGGAAGAATGTAGCAGAAGTGCTACAAAAGAATCATGATTTTGTTGTTGAACAACGACAAATGAAAACCATTATGATTACCTCAAAGGAAAGTATGGAGCATGGGCAAAGTTAAAAAACAAGACGGGTAATGTTTATGATGCATCAACAAAAATGTTTAATCTGTCAAAAGAGGAATGGCATATATAAATGAAGGTCACGTTTTATCTTTTTCTATTAAGATTATTTTCTTAAATTCTTTTTTATATATATATACTTATAAATCTTTTATGAACAACAAAACAAATTTGTTGAGAAGTTGCGGACTGCACCTCTTCCCTTTCCTCAACTTTGTATTCAATTGTTTGATGGTGTGGCTTCCACCGGTGTTGGAACTTGGGGACCAACTGCTACTGTTCCAAACCCTTCTAGTGTGACTCCTGAAATGAAGATTATGGCACACAAGACTATTATGATCTAACACAAGAACCACTACCTTTGGAAGAAGAGATTGTTTTTCGCTCCTAACCTCAAAGGAAAAAACAAAGAGGAAAACAACGTTCGGAAAATGAGGATGATTTAGCAAGGGTTGTGACACATGTTAAGCACAATCTTGAACAAACCACCGGGGGAGGATGAGATGGATCATTGCATAGATAAGTTGGAAACACTTGGGTGGGAGCAAAATGCATTGTATGACATAGCACTTTTCATATTCAGCCAAAGCACCGACTATAGGAAAATTTGGTTACACTTGAGTGAAGAGAGGTATGAGGGATGGGTTAGATTTACAAGTGGTAAGCTCGGTTTATTTTAGTTTGGTGATGTTTTGTTTTGAACAATCTTTTTTAGACGATCTTTTTTCGAATGTTTTGTTTGGATGGTATTATGATTGATATAATATGAATAAATGGCTATTTCAATTTGACGGAATATTTGTTTAAACTTGATGTTATATTTATGATATCCTTGCAACATAAGATGATGTTATTTTGTGTTTTATATTTGCAGGGTCATACATGGATGAAAATGATATTATTCTGATAGTGGTTATTGTATATTGGTATTTGATAAGAAGAGCTTCAACACGAATAGAAAGGGTCAGAGATAACACTTCTGTTCTCACTGGACATGCGTATACACAAGAATTATTAAGTGGATCTAATACGCAATGTCATGAATTGATGCGTTTATCTGGTGATGCCTTTATAATGCTATGCGACCATTTTAAACAAAAAAAAATTAGTTGCAATCAAGTAGGTAAATAAGTGTTGAAGAGAAGATGCCGATGTTTTTGACAATTGTTGCTCACAATGAACGCTTTTGAATGGTTAAACGTAGATTTCAACACTCTACACGGACTATTCATAATTGTTTTCATGAAGTATTGAGAGGAATGATGGAATTCGCGAGAGAAGTAGTAGGGCCAACATCGGTTGATGGAACACCAAATACATCAGAGAGATTTAGGCACCTTAAAGAAATATTTTCGGTATGATTTATGTTATTGATTTGATAATTTCTAAACGTGTTTGATATATTTTTTGCATGTTTCTTATAGTTGATGTTTTTTAAAGGGAGCTATAGGTGCACTAGATGGAACCCTGATACATGCAGTTGTGCCTAGTGATCAACAAACAAGATATAGAGGAAGAGGAAGAGGGGAATGCTACCAAAATGTTTTAGCCATTTGTGATTTTAATATGATATTCACGTTTGTATGGGCTGGATGGGAAGGCATTGCACATGATTCTAGAGTTTTGAGGGAAGTTGCATTTAACCCAACTTCGGGATTTCTGTTTCCTTCATCAAGTAAGTATCATTTTCTTAACATTAAAAGGTTATTATTAATCCATATTTTTTAAGTTGTAGGTGTAATTACAGATGAATATTATCTTTGTGATGTTGCATATACTTGTACCCGTGGATTTATGACTCCGTATCGCAATACGAGGCATTGGTTAGCAGATTTCCGACGGAGACGTGCATTAACAAAAGAAGAAATGTTCAATCATGCCCATGCACAACTTAGAAATGTAATCGAGCGTGCATATGGTGTCTTAAAAGCAAGATTTCCAATCCTAAAGCAAATGGCTCCTTATCCTTTTCCAATACATAAAGATGTGGTAATTGCGTGTTTCACGATTCATAACTTTATAAGAAAACACAATATCCAAGACCAAATATTCATGGAACACGATGAGAACACCATGTTTACGGTTGCTGAAGAACAACATGAAGGAAACAATGAAATAGAAGTTGATGGAATGCAGTGGAGTTCTCAAGAGAATGAATATATGACTAGTTTGCGTGATCAGATTGCAAATCAGTTATTGTCTAATATTTCAAATTAAGATTTGTGCGACGATTATTATGTTTAAATTCAATTTATTTTACTGTCTGAATATATTTCAATTATGAAATTTGTATTTTTGTCATGTCAACAATTAATCATACATAATATTTGATAAATAGTTGCATTAGTTTAAACACTTCATCACATATAGGGTTATAATAGTCATTTTTTATTAGTTAGCACCAAATCTAGAATACTTGGTAAACAATTTTTTTACAAACAACACTTACTCCAGTAAGAGATGCTTACTCTAATCAGACCTCTTATTTCAGACAGCGCTTACCAGCTATTGTTGGTAAACAGCCCTGTAATGGATGTTATAATGTTATGCTAATTAATTAGAATAGTAGTTCCTAAAGGACTAGAAATGCAACTCAATGATGTAGTTACTACATATCTCTATAGGGATATAGATTCAGTGATATATAAAAGTGTTTGATAACATTATATTACCCAATCAAGTAACTATAAACTACAGAGTGCATTTGCAATAAAACTGAAACACTCACTTTATAGATTAAAGCAATCTAGGCAGATGTGGTATATTTTTTTTGAAGTATATAATATTTATATACAGAAAATAGAACAAATAAACTCACACACCCTTCTCACCTTTGGTGAGGTTTGAACCCTTGACCTCCTAAGAGACTAAGAACTTACATACCGCTAGGCCAAAGGCCCTTGATTGGAAAGAGATATAAAAAGGATGAACCGTGCCCTTGTGTATTTATAAAAAAAACGAGTTCTAGACTTTCAAGCGTAGCTCTATATGTCGATGTTATGAACATAATAGACACTCTTGATGAAATAAGAGAAACCACAAGCTACTTGAAATCTAAATATGAGATGAAAGATCTTGGGAAAACTTGGTTTTGTCTAGCTATTTGAGCTAGAACAACGAGTTTATGAAATATTATTCTATCGATCCACATATGTCTAGAAAATGATCAGACGATTAATATGTACAAAGTGCATTCGACTAGCACTCCCATGATTAGTTGAAGTGTTGGATATAAGGAAAGATCCATTTCATCTAAAGGATGATGACAAAGAGGTGTTGGGAGCTGGAATTTCCTATCTAAGTACAATATGCACATTTTTGTACTTAGCACAATGTACTCGACCAAATATTGCATTCTCAGTGAACTTGTTAGCTAGATTTAGCTCGACGCCAACGCAATGTCATTGGAATAGTATCTAGAATATATTTCGATAGCTAAAAGGAACCATCGACATGGGATAATTCTTTCCCTACAAAGAAAAAAATGGGGTTATAATACCTGCTAAAAATATTAACAAAGAAAGCGTTATCCCATATAGTGAAACTCTAAATGATATATTAGTAGGCTTTGCTGATGCTAAGTATCTTTCTGACCCACACAAAGGTTGTTCTTGGAACATGGCCATTTTTTTGGAAATCTATCAAGCAAATCCTTGTAACTACCTTCTTGAACCATTCGTAGATTATTATACATATAAGAGGGGATATTGGTCTTAGTTCAACCACTCAAAATCCTACATGCATATATGAAGATAATGCAGCTTATTTCAACCAAACAAAAGTAAGATATATCAAGGATGATAATACGAAACATATTTTGCCAAAGTTTTTCTATAATCAACAACAACAAACTCTCCTTAAGATTCAAGCGAATCAAAGTAAGGTCTGAGGAGAATGCGGCTGATTTGTTTTACCAAATCACTGCCTAAGGCCACATGTGAGAAACATGTGGAAAACATTGGAATGTAGAGACTTTCCAAACTCCCTTGATTAATGTACATACCAAGGGGAGTAGTAGACAAAAGGGGGAGTCTATTATATATGTAATATTGGTATGCTGTGCTCTTTCCTTCACCCAAAATTTTATTTTTCCATTGAGTTTTGTTCATTGGTGTAAGATTTTAGTGAGGTAACAATTTATATACCATATTGCTTTCCTAACGCTCATGATTGATATACGAATATGAAAGAATATTAGACTAAAAGGAAAAGTCTATATATTGCAAAAAAATTGGTGCATTGTACTCTTTCCTTCATCTTAATTTTATTTTTTCCGGTTGGGTTTTTATTCTGGCATAAGGTTTTAACAAGACTAGAGTTGTGTACCATCACTCATTTGACTCGACACAAGGGAAGTGTCGTAGAATAAGTGTGTTATCGTCTAAAAGATATGATGATAAAGATAGAAATACATATATCAGAGTTAAATTAGATATAAAATATCTTGTAATTATTTACTTATAACTATTGTTGGAAAAAAAAAACTTATGAAAATTACATATTGTTTTTCTCTATTTCATTGTTATTCATTATAAGTTATTCTATAACATTTTTCTTTTTCTCTAATCATCACCGGGCATCGTTTACTTGTTATGGTAGTTCGGAGTGAAAGTCAAATAATCCCCAATCGAGAAACCTGTGAGAGGCGGTGGTTGCTGCTTCTTCTTCTTCCCCGACGTAACCCTCAATTACCGTCGTCCGTTACATGGAGGAGAACAAGCAAAAGTGCAGGCGCTTTTCAACGCACTCTTCCTCTCGTTTTTCTCATGTCAACAATCTTGATGATGGTTGTTTGATGCATATCTTCAGTTTCTTATCTCCAATCCCTGGTATATTTCTGTTACTTTTACCGTTTTCAACCCTAATTTTCATTTATCTCTTGTCAAGCAATTGTTATAGTAATAAACTAATAATTCCCCCTTTTTTGCCACTTCTTAATTCACCCATCTGCTGCTTCTGTTGCAACAGTTTTTCCTTTTGCAACTTTCTTAATTCACAATTTGGGTACCATTCTTCGAATTTTTACTGGTCATATTGCGTATTGGTGAATTTAATTTTGAATTAGTTGTATGGGACTGGTAGAAGATCCTGTGATACTAGCTTTGTTTTATTTTCTTTTGTGTCCGCAAATTCTTTTTACATTGAAGATTATATCGTACATGTCAATTAACCTTTGTGCTTCATGAGGAGTTGGGACTTTTATTTGAATTATCAAACATAATTTATGTTGGAAATAGAAAAAGAAGAGTGGCAGTGTTTATAGCTTTGAAGGAGAATGTTTTAAGCAGTGTTTGCAATCCTTCTTTTCAAGAATCTCATCTCCATTAATAAAGTAAGAACTTTGGGGACTACTTCATTGTAGTAGGAGGCCTTTGCTATACCTGATGAACAAGGGAGGATATAAAAGACTGCAATACGTTCAGTGTCAAATTGCAAAGAGTACCGTCACCGATTTTCATTAACAGCATATACTATAAAAATATTGGTTCATTCGCACCACAGCAAACTTCACTACAGCCGGACTCTGCTCAGAGACCTGCAGAGTTCATCATGGTTTAAAATTTGACCAGGTTTAGGGATGTCTGGTCAATGTACTCTCCGATAACAGAAAGGGGAGAATTCTCTTTCCCTCTGTTCTTTGAAAATCCATTGGTCCAATATCACCAACATTCAGAAATAGAATTTGGAAGCAGGGGAATCAAATACTTTCAAAGAAAACCACACCTGCATGTTGACCGTATTCTTTTTTTAACACCACCAAATACCCAGACCCCATGTTTAGTTGGATAAAGAAAGTTTTTTACCTTGAAATTCAGTAGCGGTGGCTGAAACCCTATGGCAACCAGAAATTATTTTGACAGTCTGTTCTTTTAACGGGTATTGTCAAGCCAGGGCATAAAGACCGAGTTCTATGTTCTAGAGAATCATATTCTCACTGTTACTGATTTGTAGGCATACAACTTGTTTGGGGGACCTGAATCTCGAGGTCTTTGGCATCATCCAGCTCAAACTGATAGGACAGTCTCCAGTCATGGGATTCTCTTAGTTGCCATAAGAATGCACTAATTTTATCATCTTCATCGATGATCTATTGATGCAGGGTAAGCATATAGAAGTAACCATTTGTGGGAAAGCAATTAATAACTAGGCAACCCTAGAAGCCTAGTATCTTTTGAGAATCATTTGCACAATTAATAAGTTGAATTAGGTTATCTCAGTACGAATGTTCTCTATTTATGAGGTCAGGAAATGCTAACACTGCTGGCAGGATAAGAAAAATACTACATAATAAAAAAAAAACCCTTTAATAAGAAATAAAACATCTGATGCTTCTGAATAACTTAAATTGGATGATTAAATGAGAACCCATCTAACATTGGTTATGTTGAATTAAGCGATAAATTATGCCCAAATGACATGCCCTAGAAATTTTAACCTCATCTCTGTGTTCTCCATTCATGTACACTCTGACTGTAAATATTAAATATTTAGGCATTGTTTGACAAACAAAAGCTAGCTTATTTGCTGTGTACATGTTTGGATGACCATAAACTAGCTTATTGAAACGCCACTTGGAGTAGCGTTTTGGGAGCTTATTGTGACTTTTTCCAACTATATCCCTCATTAATATTAATTGCTATTTATTACTATTAACAATAAATAAATATTAATTATTAATAAATATTAAATAAAAATAAATTATTACTAATTAATTTTAATTTTAATTATACATTGTACATTAACATTAATTATTTACTATGAATATTATATCAATTATTAACCACAAGGATGGTGTCTGATTGGTTTGAGCTTGACTCCAAAGGTCAAAA